AGGGTTTTCTCGTCAAAGGAAAATTTGTTATGAAAGAGATTTTTGTGTTTGTGAGAAGTCACATGGAGAAGAAACACTCTTCACGTGAGCAATACAAGACACGTGAGAAAGAAGAGGTGTTCTGAGTGATATGGTGTTTAGCTGCTATTTCGTGTTTGTTATTAGGTTGATTGGATTTGTTTATAAATCCAGATTCGACGGTCTTTTGCCAACAGATCGGAGAATTGTAGGCCGATTAAGGCGATTCAGGAGTTGAAACCTATGTTTTCGATGTTCTGGACGTATTAGCAGAAGAGGAAGAAGATTGAGCAGATTCTATCATTTTGAGCTAGTCTTGATGATTACACGTTTATCGGATGTCTAAAAGATTGATGGAGGGTGTTGTGGTTTGTATGAGGTATGGTTATATTTATTTCATGGTTGATGGATGGTGTTTACTTCTTAACATGTTGTAACACTTGACATCGATCATCAGGGGTTTCTAGAGTTGGTCATGATATCTGGATCGAGGTAGAGCGAAGTGCTCTAAACTATTCAAAAGTTTTGACCAAGGTGGAGTACGGTGTGATCACGATAGTTCATGTGTGACAAGTTGAGTGGTCAAAGGTGTTTAGTTGGAAGACAATGATGATTGTACTTGTTTGTTTCCAGAAGGTGAGCATGGTGGATGTGTGGTATTTGTCTAGGAAGTAGATTGCGAGATTACTGGAGTATCTCCTGCTTTGTGAAGCTCGGAGACCGGTTCATCTATATCTGGCATATGGTGGCGTGAGTGGCCTGTAATTTCCTGTGGAATGTGGAGCTATATTCACATAGGTGCAGTTCAAATACAAGCTAAGGTGATGATCTTTTATGTGTCTCATATCTTTTTTAGTATCCAGTTGGCTTTTGACCCTGATGGGCCTTTAGGTCAAGTTAGTTCTAGGGTTTATTGTCATGCACTATATATATAAGTCTCTCGTATGAGATGATTCAGAGATGTGATTAGGGCTTTGGAGAGGATATGAGATGTGGGCAACATATATGATATGCGAGGTTGAGAGATTGAGAGAGATGAAGGATTACTCCTATAATATTCTCTCTCATCCATAGTGAATTTCTCATATTGTGCCCCAGGGATATAGGTCGAACATATTGTGCCCCAGGGATATAGGTTGAACTTAGTTGACCGAACTACGTAAATCTCAGAGTTTTTATTGCTTCCTATTGTTAGTATCTTGTGAATTTAAGGTTTGATCTCTGGGTTGCGGAGATCAGGATCGGGGACAATCAATCCACTTCTACCACTTCTTCAAAGTTCTATACACGTCAGATCATTGGATGGTGAGAGAAATGGGAAAGAGAGGGTTTGTGGGTGGGTGAGAATGTGTAAGGTGTGAGGGCAGATTGATGTGTGTGAGATAGAGAGAGAGGAAGGTTGGTTTTTTAAGGGGGTGTTATTTTTTGAGACAGGACCCTTGAAGTGTGATAAGGTCAAAGGTTAGTCACGCAGAGGGTGTTTGTGCTAGCAGAGGGTGTTTGTGCTAGTAAAATAGTTTATAGATAATAAGTGGCTAACCCAACCCTAGGTAATATGAGGGTGTATCTACAAGTAACTGTTGTTTTTATATGGATTTCCATAGGTTTATTTGGGTTTGCGACGCACCACCGTACAATTTCCAAATCTGTCAATATGTAATTACTTTACATAGTAAGTTTCAAAATAGAGATGTCTATTCTAGATCCAGATAAATTTTTTTATTTTTTTGTTGGGTGTAAATTTTATAAAAATTTCAAGGCTTGAAGATATCATTCTATTGCTTTTTTGTTGTTCTTATCTAGAGAATTTGGTAATTTTTTTCTGTCCTTGTCCCAGTGATGTGGAAATTAAACCCATTCACCACACCAAGAGAGCCAACCACTTTAGAAGGCCGTTATGTCACTGTTGGCAATAAAAAAACATATGTCCGCAATGCAATAGCAGAAGGAGGATTTTCATGTGTCTATCTTGCACATGATGCTGTTGATACATCAAAGCAATATGCTTTGAAGCACATAGTTTGCAATGATGGGGAGTCATTGGAAAGTGTAGTGAAAGAGGTATCTGTGATGAAAATGCTTAAAGACCATCCAAATGTTGTCGCTCTTGTTGCCCATACCATACTGGACATGGGTCGAACAAAGGAAGCACTACTTTTGTTGGAGTTTTGTGACCAGACTTTGGTTACCATGTTAGAAAAAAGAGGTGCGGCATACTTTGAAGAGAAACAAATTCTATCAATTTTCAGGGATATATGCAATGCGGTGTTTGCCATGCATCGCCAGTCACCACCCATTGCTCACAGGTTTGCCCATCTGATGATCTTTCTTCTAAATACTTGCAAATAATATTTTATTCTAATCATTGAATTTTCTAGTTGAAATAGTTGCTGCTCGATTTCCCATGTAGAAGTTTCTTTTTATGAATTTCTCTGCTGCATAACTTTAAAACTATGTGGTTATCTCTAGTCAAAATTTCAGTAGATTGTATGTACATCTAGTCGCTTGCAACTTGTTTCGCAGAGCTATAACTTGAGATATTTGTTCCTGTCTTAGGGTTATATACAGGTTGGCAAAGGTCGATATATCCATATTCATACGTGTACCTGGCTGGATATGTATAAATCTACCTTTATCTAATATCTGGATCAGAATCAGATTCGATATGTAAATCGGGAAAAGTTCCAAATACCATCTTCAACTTACATCTATCAGTAACTCTTATCTTAGTGATGCATATGAGTGTTTAATTTACAAAAATCCATAGAACATCTAGTACTGTAGTTCAATTATGGTCTGCTTCTAGCCTAAGTTTAGCATGGTGGACCGTTTTTTCAGTCAATTAATTCATACATATGGAATCTGTTGGTAATTTTCTTTAATCTGCATCTATTTGAACTAATTCTGTACCAGTTTGATATCCATATCCGTTTTAAGGCTGCTGACTGGCATGGATGCAGGCAAGCTTAATTTCCTTTGCATATCTGTTCTATTTGAGAATATTGAATATACTCCTTATTTTGAAACTTTTGTGTACTAGTGATTACATCTCCAAATGTGTGCACGGTAGAGCTGCCTTGCATGTGTTTTATTATTATAATTATTATTTTAACTTTTGATATTTGATCGGTGATGTAGTTC